TCTCCTCTCTCCTCTCCTCCCTCCCTCCCTCCCTCCTCCCTCCTCCTCCCCTCTCTCGTCTCCCTCCTCTCCCTCTCTCTCCTCTCTCGTCTCCCTCTCTCCTCTCTGTCTCCCCTCTCTCCCCTCTCTCTCCTCTCTGTCTCCCCTCTCTCCTCTCTGTCTCCCCTCTCGCCCCCTCTCTCTCCTATATCTACCTCTCTCTCCTTCAGATGACGTACGAAGACGGCCGCTTCTCTGTCGTGCTGGACAAGGGCACGCTGGACGCGCTGATGACCGACGGCAGCGAGGCGGTGCGGCGCCGCGTCGACGCCATGTTCGGCGAGATCTCGCGCGTGCTGCGCGTCGGCGGACGCTACGTCTGCATCTCGCTCGCGCAGGAGCACATTCTCGCGAAGGTGCTCGACTATTTTCCCAGCCGGTGAGTATGAGATGTGGCGATCGTGCTTAACAGAGTCGAAACTGGAGTCTTTGATTCCTCAGGCACCCGCTTAACAGAATTGAAACTGGAGTCTTTAATTCTTCGGGCACCCGCTTAACAGAGTCGAAACTGGAGTCTTTGATTCCTCAGGCACTTNTCTCTCTCTCTCTCTCTCTCTCTCTCTCTCTCTCTCTCTCTCTCTCTCTCTCTCTCTCTCTCTCTCTCTCTCTCTCTCTCTCTCTCTCTCTCTCTCTCTCTCTCTCTCTCTCTCTCTCTCTCTCTCTCTCTCTCTCTCACTCTCTCTCCCTCTCTCTCTCACACTCTCTCTCTATCTCTATCTCTCTTGCGTTCTCAGGTATGGGGAGTACGCGCAGCTGTGCGGCGTGCTACACAAGTACGTGCGCCCCGCGGACAGGATCGTCGTGATCGGATGCGGAAACTCACAGCTGAGCGCCGACCTGTACGACGTCGGCGTGCGCGACATCGCCAACGTCGACATCAGCGAGGTCGTCGTGCGCCAGATGGCGAGCAAGAATGCCGGGCGGCGACCCGACATGACCTGGGTCAAGATGGACCTGCTCGAGGTGCGTGACGACGACGACGATTCTGCGCAGTTTTGTCGTCGAATTCTTGCTTTGTCGCGTGTCGCCTGGCGGTCGATGGTTTTCGTATGATGACCTCTCTCNTCCGTCCTAATGATTTTATGATTTTGGAAGCGAAATTTCCCTCTTCCCTCAGAATGTCACCACAGGGTAGTCCCCCTCCCTCTCTTTCGCCCCTCTCTCCTCTCTTTCTGCCCATCAGGGCATCGCCTCGCCACCTCTCTCCCCCTCCTCCCCTCCCTCTCCCCCGTCTCTGTCTCCGCCTCTCTCCGACCCTCTCTCGCTCGCCTCTGTACTCTTTGCGGCCCTCTCTTGCGTCTTCTCTGTCTCCCCTCTCTCCCCTTCTCGTGCGCGCTCTCTGTCTACCCCTCTCTCGCTGCGCTTCGCTTGCATCTGCTTGGCTCCTCAGTCGCCCCCTGAGGTCTGCCTTTTCTTCCTTATCTACTACTAAAGGCCTTCTTTCTCTCTCCTTCAGTGATAGACGTACAAGACGGCGGCTATTTGCTCGGTCGAGATGACGTGGACAATGTGGTCATGTCTGGCCGGGGCCCAACCTCGCTGACTCTGCCTGAGGCAGCGAGTGGGTGCGGGCGGCCTAAGCGTCGGATGCCCTCTCAATGTTTCGTGTGTTCCGAGCATTCCTCGGCGCTCGTGCTGCGCGTCGGCAAGCGTTATACGCTAACGAGACTCTGCATCTCGCTCTGCGACAAGCATTGAGCACATTCCCTCAGCGGGCAAAGGTGCTCGAACTATGGTTTTCCCAGCCGGTGAGTATGAGTATGTTTGGGCGATCAGTTCGCTTAACAGGATGTGTTCGTATAAGACTGGAGTCGTTTGATTCACATCATGTTGGGGACGCACTCCTGGCCTATTATATACGCAGGAAATTGAAACTGGGAGTCTTTAATTCTTCGGCGCACCACGGGCACTCTGCTTAAGAGGAGAGATTACGTTGACACATATATATGCGGAGTCTTGTAGCATGTCGCTCTCAGGCACTGCTTTAACAGAGTCCGAAACTTGGAGTCTTTAATTCCTCAGGGCAGCCGCTTAACAGAGTCGAAACTGGGAGGGTGCGATTTAATTCATGGCAGGCACCCGCTAACAGAGTCGAAACTGGAGGTGGCTTTAATTCATTCAGCAGCTCCCGCTTAACAGAGTCGAACCCTGGAGCAGTCTTTACTTCCCCCACGCACCGGAGCCGGCTTAACAGAGTCAGACGAAATCTGGAGACTCCCTTTAAATATCTAATCAAAGTAGACAATCCCGCTTATTTCATGTAAGATACGAAACTGAGATCACTTCTAAATCATAATTACTTTCGGGCACGAATAACAGAACCTCGGCATAATACAAGTGTTCAATAACAGATATAGAACTTGGATAGTCTTTAATATCCTCTCAAGATGGGCACCCAGCTTAACAAAGAGGTCCGTACATTAGAATTACTAGAGATGTCTTTAATTCCGCGGAGAACCGGCAACGCCCCGCTAACAGAGTCGAAACTTGGAGTCTTTAATTCTTCAGCGCACCGCTTAAAACAGAGTCCGAACTGGACTCTTTTAATTCAATCAGGCACGCCGCTTAACAGAGTCGAAACTGGAGTCTTTGATTCCTTGGCAGCCGCGCTTAACAGAGCTTCGAAACTGGAGTCTTTAATTCTTCAGGCACCTGCGGTAACAGCAGTCGAGACTGGAGTCTGGATTCTTTCGGGACGGACCGCTTAACACTAACAGAATGCGAAACAGACCTCGTTACTCTTTATTTCATCAGCACCGAATTACTGTGATTACTCGATCGAATGTAACGTCATAAGCATTGTAGTCCTGCTGCGTTTGAAGCTCATAAATAGTGCCAGGTAAAAGGGTATGTGCACTATACTGTATATGTGACCCGCTCCCGCATAATACGGACCAAGTCACAAGTCACTGTTTTGAGTAATGAGCACGCACACATGTCAATGCTGAAAATGGCCTACCTGGACAAAAATGAGATTTTTACAAAAATAAGTTCCTAAGTGCATATTTAATCCGGATATATAGGTTCAGATATCTCTAGATTATTATGGTCATTTTTAAATTTTTTTTAATAAATAAAATAAAATAAATTTTGAGCGGCGACGGCCCCTTCAGACTGGCCCCTGACCGCTTATCCCCTACTGGGCCCCTTACCGGAACGTTTATCTCAAAAGCTGCATTATATTCCAGATAAGTCGGTTTCGCGATCTTCAAATTGCTGTAGATTGGACCTGATCGGTCAATTCTTTAGATATAGCCAAATATTATATATCATTTTAAATGTAATTAAATGATCTTTTCAGATATGCACATAACTCAATTTGTAGAATTTCCTACTTAATCCTGGTTTTGCTGGGGCGGGTCACATATATGTACTACTCTAGTAGTTAAAACTGCATTTACATTACTTAATTTGTGAGTGTATAAGAGAGAAATACCTGTATTATGTATACTCGACCTAATCGTACATGGGTTCCTGATAATTGGTACAGGTAATGTATTGTGTATTTTTGCAGGGGCTGGATGGTTAGGGTACATAAGCTTACTGATGCCGATGAGGATAAGGAGCAGACTAGCTACTTTCCAGTGTTCGTGTTTGTATTCACAAAGTTTAAGAAGATGGCAAACATGACAAAGGTATTTACGTGAAATCTGCGTTTTATGAAACTATATCAAATTATAAACTGCATCAACAGGGTATACCCAAATATAGCCTTGCTGTTGTTGAACTGAAATGCTTGGTAGAACATGGAATATTTAAGGGGTGGACACACTAGGCGATTTTTCATGCGATCGAGCCGGCCGACCAAGCCGGCCGCTCGATCGCATGAAAAATCGCGTAGTGTGTCCAGTGAGTCGGCATTCGATTTTTGAGTCGGCGGGCCGAGTCGGCCCGATTCAAACATGTTTGATAATTATTTGAGCCGGCCGGCTGCAATCGCCTAGTGTGCCCGGGTCTGCGATTGAGCCGGCCGATTGTACAATTCATCAGCCAATCAGCGTGCTGAAAATCCACGAGTCGCCTGACTCAGTCGCGTAGTGTATCCACAGAGTCGCCCGACTGAGCCAGCCGGCTCGATCGCATGAAAAATCGCGTAGTGTGTCCACAGCTTTAGATGAGACCGATGATGATGGCTTCATCTATGGCATAGACTAAATATTATTATTATCATTTACAATAGTCTTCCTTATATCTTACAGTATTTCCGTGAACTCATGTATACTAGTATATTATATATAAGTATTAGTAGATACACAATTATACATATGCTTTTGTTGAACTGAAATACTTTGCAAAACCTGGAATATTCAGGTGAGACCGCAGCTCCATCTATGGCACAGACTAAATATTATTGTTATTATTTACACTAAACTTCCTTATATCTTACATTTTTTCCACGAACACATGTATACTAGTATATATTATATCAAGAGTACATAATCCATCCCATATCTTATCCCATTATGTACTCTTGATTATATGTATATATACAATTATATTTATGTCCATGTCGCATGTGATTTTGTAGTAACGGTGAACGAGTGGCAGGGATTATTAATCAGCGAGCGACGTCATTTCTTGATAGGTGCTTGAGATGTGCATGTACGACGACGACAAGGTGACGCGCGTTGCGGACGAGGGAGAGATCGTAGCAGCGGTGCATGAGCTGCAGCAGTATGCTCTCGTCAGGCAGCAGCTACACACGAGGTGCCCTGCTACGTTTCCCTCCGTGTTTCTTCGCACATCCTTCAGTCTTTTAGTTTCTAGTCATCCTTTAGTAGTGCTTTAGCGCCATAGTGACAGTGCAGTAGCCTGTTCTGTCTACCGTCGTCACATTGTGACGTGCGTTTCGTCGTTTGAGTGACGTTTTGAATGTAGACGTAGTTTATACGGCGTCGACGACGACTTCAGGGCGTACATTTTTTTGCGAGATAAAATTGCGGCAAAAAAACTGCAGAATTTCCGGTTCTTGGGCGAGCACGCACGACCTTCGGTCGCACCGAAGTTTGGACGGGAATTTTCCAAAATATTAAATATTTGGTCACCTCGTGCGGGAATTTGCTGGAATTTTCGGTCACCTTGTGTAGGAATTTTCCAGAATTTCAGTCATCTTGTGCGGGGAATTTTCTGGAATTTTTGGTCACGTTGTATAGGAATTTTCCAGAATTTCAGTCATCTATAGGAATTTTCCAGAATTTCAGTCATCTTGTGCGGGGAATTTTCTGGAATTTTTGGTCACGTTGTATAGGAATTTTCCAGAATTTCAGTCATCTTGTGCGGGAATTCCGCATTTTTCTTCCTCCCCCCCCCCCGTACAGTAATTTTCTCTTCCTAGGATGACATTTTCTTGCTTTCGTTGCAGGAGTCACGTTGGGGAGCAGATGTCGCTGCAGCTGCACGCCGCTGCCTCCGCGCAGACGCCGCGATACACGCTGCACGTCGTCGACCGACCAGTCGCCGCCGGCGACGCGGCGTTCGCAATATTCATCGTGCCCCAGGGAAGGTGAGCCGCCGCCAGGGGGCGTTTGAACAATGCTGCCATCTAGTGGCGGTGTGGCTGCGTGTTTGCGCTGGATTCTGCTACGCGCTTATGTGTACACTGCTTCTGGTGGTAGTTCGCGTCTGCTTCTTGACTGATTCCAAGAGAGAGAGAGAGAGAGAGAGAAGTGGGAAGATAGAGAGAGGGAGAAAGAGTGCAAAAGAGTCACAGAGAGAGAGAGAGAGCAAATGAGTCGGAGACAGAGAGAAAAGAGAGAAAGCAAACGAGTCTGAGACAGAAAGAGAGAGAAGAGAGAGCGAGAAGGGGAAAGAGAAAGGGAGAGGTTAAGCGAGAAAGAGAGCGAGGGAGAGCGCGAGAGATAAACGGCGACGTAGCGACGCGAAACGCTGTTGAACTCTGACCCGCAGAGCGACGGAGTGGATGTTCGGCAGCGATGCAGGCCGGCTACAGCTCGCGAAGCAGTGCGGCTTCCGGCGCGTCATTGTCACGACGCTGCACCGCGACCAGCACTACGAGGGACTCGAGGCGATCAAGGCAGAGCTCTCGGCTAAAGTGCTGGAGCTCGCACCCGCGGGAATGCCTGCCAATACTCAGGTGAGAATAACCCTGGAGAGATGGGGTGGAGAGATGGGACTAACCCTGCCAGGAGAGGGGGGAGTAACTGTGGAGAGGTGAGAGTGACCCTGGAAAGGTGAGAGTCACCCTGGAGAGGTGGGAGTTACCCTGGAGAGGTGGGAGTAACTGTGGAGAGGTGGGAGTTACCCTGGAGAGGTGGGAGTTACCCTGGAGAGGTGGGAGTTACCCTGGAGAGGTGGGAGTATCCTGGAGAGGTGAGTTACCCTGGAGAGGCTGGGAGTCACTGTTGGATGAAGGTGGGAGTTTCCCTGGAGAAGGAAGGAGTTACCTGGAGAGGTGGGAGTTTCCCGTGGAGAGGAGGGAGTTACTATGGAGAGGTAGAGTACACCCTGGAGAGGTGGGAGTAATCTCGTGGTAGAGGTTGGGAGTTTATTCTGCGAGAGGTGATGCGTAACTGTGGAGAGGTGGAGTTACCCTGGTGAGGTGGGAGTTACCCTGGAGAGGTGGAGTTACCCTGGCAGAGGTGAGAGTTACCCTGGCGAGGTGGGAAATGTTACCCTGGAGAGGTGGGAGTTACCCTGGAGAGGTGGGAGTTACCCTGGAGAGGTGGGAGTTACCCTGGAGAGGTGGGACTAACCCTGGAGAGATGGGAGTTACCCTGGAGAGGTGGGAGTTAGCTTGGAGAGGTGAGAGTAATTCTGGAGTGGTGCAATTTACCCTGGAGCAGTAAAAGTTACCCGGATCATGTGAGAGTGTGCTTAGTGGAATATGCTTCATGCAATCCAGTAGAGTGAAGATGCACTGTGATCGTAATAAAATAGTGAGGCCACCTCCGCTCACTGAAAAAATAGCGATTTCACATTATATCTGACACTGTACAGTTTGCAATCAGTAATGCTAGACGTGCAATAGTGATACATTCGTGCTTAGTGGTGAGCTCTCGCTATCACCATAAACATTTGTGTACTCGGACTCTCGGAGTATACATACATCCATGTTATCACCCAATGGAACCTCTTAGTTTACCACTGTAACGAAAGTAGCTCTGGGAGTTGATCAATTTTTACGCTCACATTTTTCAAGTTGCGTTATCTAGGCGATAGCAGCTATACGACAGCAGTTTGTCTGTAGGCACGATGTCGATTTATACTTGCCGCGTGTGACAGCGAGAACTTATAATGTATGTATGCGTAACGATAATGTGTATGTGGATGTACGGATACTTATATATGAAACGTAATGATATGTGTATGTGGATGTATGGATACTGTTATATGAAACCTATGTATACGCAACGATATGTGTATGGGGATATACCAATACAGTACCGATATATGGAACGTATGTATACATAACAATATGTGTATGTGGATGTACCGATACCGATCTATTGAGCGTATATATACAAAACGATATGTGTATATGAATATACCGATACCGATGTATGGAGCGTATGTATATGTAACGAAATTATGCGTAGGTTCCGTTCCTGTCCGTCGGTGCCGACATTGGACGCCGCACCACAGTTCATCAAGGTCACAGCGAGCTCAGCGGCGATTTTGTCGTCGAGGACGTGGAAACGGATGCGGGACTGTTCAGACGACTCGTGTTTCTTAGCAACCAGAACGTCGTTCAGTCGGAGGCCAAGCTTGTAGCCGGTGAGTGTGAGTTGTCACTCTGTCATCGCGTGGTCTCTTACGGTTTTTTATTTTTGTGTGTGTTATCACGCCGCTGTGAAATTACGCCGCGTCGAACGGTTGCTAATGTTGTAAAATTATGATAGATGGTTGTATGGGATCGTTTTGATTTTCAGTCAGCAAGAATAACAAGAAAAAGAGAAAGAGTAGTGGCAAGCTGTCTATTGATACCAGCTATCTGTCTTGCCAGCATCATCACTACATGGTTTCTGGAATCGCTTTCGTTGACGCAATTAGCGCAGGTAAGATGGTAGAAATTAATTGTTTGACGTCTGAATTTGCATATCATTTTATCCTGTGCGCAATTTCGGACAGCCGTTGAATGTGATATTGCGTGTGCTGTGTAGAAGATGCATATAAGGTGTCTGTTATTTTGCCTTTGAGCTATCTAACATACTTGGAAGTTGAAGCATTTCGTGGTACATACGCGGTGTCAACAACGATTGTAATTCTGTTGAACCTAGATGAGAAAATGGAAGCGGTTGTCGTAGGTTTGGGAGGAGGAGCGCTAGCTATGTATCTACAGCAATATTGCGAGGTAAGCTCGTCGAGCTGTGTGAAGGTAGAGTTCAAACTCTCACATAGCGATCGCTGTCCCTCGGAAATGTGTTCGCATTTCGTTGAGGATGCTTGAATTTTTCTTTGTGCACATGCTTGCTTACACATGGTTCTGTTTGTGTTCATTTACATACAGCAGCAATATGATGGGCTAATTAATGACGAATGGGTAAAGATCCTTGTCAATCATCATTGTCAATGAATGTTTGCTTTTTGTGCCAACAGGTGGCAGTTGAAGCTGTAGAACTGGATCCAACCATACTGGACGTAGCAGTCAGATTTTATGGCTTTACAATGAGTGAAACCCTTAGGGTTGAAGTCTGTGATGGCTTGGATTACATCCGGAAATTATCTAAGGAAGGTACCGTACCAATCATGATTATTTCTATCAACAGCATTTTTTCTTATGGAATAATTACTGCGTACCACACACAGAATTCCGATTTTTTCAAAAATTGGCTTTACGGATGAAGACACTTGTGCTTTGCCGGCATTTGCAAATTCAGTGCCATTGCCTTTATCTGGTTGTTAAGGCTCAAAGAAACACATGGTGCTTTTGGATGTCGACAGTAAAGACTCATCGGTCGGCATGAGCTGCCCACCGGCCTCATTCGTCGAGCGAGAGTTTCTTCAGACTATCTACAACGTCTTGCACGCAAAGAATGGTGAGCTCTCCTTATCATGATGCCTTTATTATGTAAGGGTTATGTATTAGGTTTTCGTCATTATGTATTATCATATATTATTATATTTATTGTTATTATTGTATTTTAACATGTTATGTATTGTTGCGTATCGTCGTCGTAGTGTCATATTCCAATCGGGTCGTTAGGCAAGTTTACAACAGTGAATGTCGTTAAAGTTTGAGAATGGAATTTAAGTGGCAAAAACTTGACATCTGAAAACTTGAAAAAGCTCAGCTGAGCAATGACACCTAGACCAGTCGTCGAAAATGCTGCTAAGAGGTCCTCATTCTAGGATTCGTCCCAAAATCATAAATCATTCTGAACGTCTGAAACATCTTACTGGTTAACTTTTTACTATTTACTATTTACTATTACTACTTACTACTATTTATTATTACTATTACTACTTAATACGTACTATTACTACTTACTATTACTATGACTACTTACTATTATTTGTTATTTACTATTACTATTACTATTTACTACGTACTGTTACTCCTTACTACTATTTACTATTACTACTTACTACTATTTATTAAGAACGCGTCGTGCTCGTGAAAGAGGTGCGAGAGAAAGATTAGGAGGAGGAGCAAGAGAAGGAGAGAGGGGGAATGAAGCGAGTGGGTGGAGAGAGAGGATGAGAGTGCGTGAGAGAATGATACAGCAAGAGAAAGCGATAAAGAGCGGCGAAGAACTAGGGAGAAAGAAATACAAGATGCAGAGAAAGTGAGAGCGCACGAGAGAGAGAGAGAGAGAGAGAGAGAGAGAGAGAGAGAGAGAGAGAGAGAGAGAAAGAGAGAGATAGGGTGATAAGGCGCGAGAGTAAAAGACCGCACGCCATGGCGTCTTCGTCTGTCGATCCGCTTATCCGCGAGCGCAGTGTGCTGCATGCACGTGACGCAATCGACCAATCACCGCACCGCGATCGATATCCCATTCCGTCTCCACGTATTTTGCTTAACTTCGCAAAAACAAACTAAAAATGCAATACACGGCGCCAAGTGAAGACGTCCACTCCGACATGGCAAGTAATCTGCGAAGCGATGTCATGCCATGTGCATCGAAACTTGTTCACGCGAATTTTTCCCGCCCTTTTTAATTGTTCGTTTTTTGTGCGAATGATAGCCAAAGCAATGGCGCCCATTACCCGAGCCGTAAAGATGTATATAGACACTAGTAAAAACCTATAGTTATAGTATATACTCTATACTCTATAGTATACGCCATACTTATAGTTACTCTATAACCTATAGTATATAGATTCTAACTTGTATGTTATTTCTATAATTCGAATGTACCGACCATACATTCGAAGCTGTATCTCCGGACTCCGCGATTAGAACACATATGAACGAACAGAGCGAAAGTTTATAGATGATAAAAAAACAGAAACGGATTGCAGAGCTCGCAACTATTCGAAATCGGGTGTACGAGGGTTGCGCTAATGTGTTTTTCTTATAGACATATATATATATCGAACTCCGTCTTAGGTATAATCCCTTGGACGTTCTATCATATTCCTACGAGGTTACGAGGTTACGAGCTTATGAGATTATATACGCGGGCGAGTAAATGTGCAATTTCGGGCTTTCATCTAGCCCAACTTCCTTTTTTCGATGCTGCAACTCCTAATGACGTTATTGTGAAAGTAGCTTCATGTTGCCATGGTAACATACGCAATCGGCTGACGGCCACGGCGATGTTGCGACTGCGGGCCTGGTCGGCCAGTCCAATCAAATCTCGAACGCTAAATTGCGTCATTTCATTCTGCCGCCCCGCAGCTAGCAGCAACGAAGTTCATAAAACATCGCGAAGACTGCGATAATGATCGATAAATCTCAAGACAGTGTCAAAGCTTTAGCCTTGACGCGGGGGATTTTTTTAGGGACGATAGGGTTAGCTGCCCTTCTTTAAATAGAACGAAAAAATAAGGCCCGATGCATTTAAATAACGTCACAATTAGTGTAAATCATCATGTGATAATCTTATACGTGAAACCATCGTCACACCTCACGTCGTCCTCACACCCGAAGCCGAACACTATGCACGTTGACTGGGTGCTGCATCCCTCACTCGTCATTACTCCACCCAGAGGCACGGAAATTTCTCCATCGTTTCGTAGGTACCCTATACGGCCCTGTATAGCATAGTCGAGTTATTGATAAGTACAGCTCCCACGTAGCCGCGACTATATATGTGCCGAGGTATTCATACACGCGACCAGATGTACTGAACGCACCGCATTATAGCTGTATTTACAAAGAGGCGTTTTCACCCTGCGTGCAATCGTTAAATGGCTACTCGACAATCAACAATCAATGACTGCTGATGGTAAATTGGGTTTATAGCGAGTGTGCTTGCCTAAGTGCGCTAGAGCAAGTAGAGCGAGGGCGAGGAAGGAGGGCGGAGGAAGAACACGAGATTGAGAGGGAAAGAGAGGGGAAGCTCAAGAGATCGAGAGATACTATTTACTATTACTACTTACTACTATTTATTATCACTATTACTACTTAATACGTACTATTACTACTATTTACTATTACTACTTACTACTATTTACTATTTACTATTACTACTTACTACTATTTACTATTTACTACTTACTACTATTTACTATTTACTATTACTACTTACTACGTACTATTAACTTTTTACTATTTAACGATTCTGATCACGTCTTTTTTTCTTCTCTCAGCTCGACCACGTATATATTATATTTCTGCAGGCGTGCTCGTGCTGAATCTCGTCTGCAGGGAGGAAGCCCTGCGCAGCCTCCTCATCGAGACGGTGAGCGCGATCTTCCCGCTCGTCTACACTGCGCGCGTCCCCGAGGAAGTCAACGAGATCGTGTACGCGTGCCGGCGTGACGCCGCGACGACGCAGCGGCCGCTTCCCGCCGCGCTCGAGCGAGTGAACGCCGCCGCGACGCGTAATGGAGCGCGGGAGAAGCTGACGGACGTCGCGGAGCTGCTGGATAATCTGACGCTTCACGGTGCGCGCGCGACGTGACGCGGCGGCGGCGTCGTCGCACGAGGGCCTCGGTGTAGCCCTGTTCACCGGCCACCTGACTGACGTCTGTGTAGATGTCCAGTGTGATCGAGAGAGTGTGGAAAAGTGCCGAAAAAAGATCCAGACGTGGTTCCAGATCGAGATTCGGATCTGTATCGAGACTCGGATCCAGATTCAGATTGAAATCCAGATCCAGGTCCAAATCTAGATCCAGATTCAGATCCAGTTCCAGACCCAGCTTGAGATCCTAATCCAGATCCAGTTCCAGATCTAGGTCCAGAGCCCTCAAATCATGTAGAATAAATGTTTTATAACTATCGGGGAAAAAGTATATTTGCGTTATTTTTATTTGCCATTAATTAATTAGGTGTAAAACTCATTAGGTGCTGCTGGGCAGGTGATGATTAATAATGGATATCGTTTGTGTCCCAATTTTTTGTCTGCATTCTTAAATTTCCTGTGAAAAGTAGAGGAAGCTATTAATTAAGATGGCATATCTATTATATAAAAAGTAGAGGAAGCTATTAATTAAGATGGCATATCTATTATATTATATGATTGTGACGAGATGGTTATCCATGCATAAACTTTCAGGAAGCTTCTTACGACACTCAGTTTTACTGAGATTGTTATTACAGTATATTTTTCGACACATCTTTTCAGCCACGTATTCGTACTGTACTTGCTTGAGTCTATTACGTTCAGCCGAAAATCAGAAATGGCAGCGTTTTACAATTGCGATAGAATCTGAGTGAAGTGGATTCAAGTTGGCGACGTTGTCGGTATGGTTTCGTGCACACGTGCACGCGCACGCACGCACACACACACATTCGCGCAAGCGTGCGCGCACACACATACACACGCACGCACGCACGCACACAGACACACACACACACACACACACACACACGCACACAGACACACACACACGCACACACACACACACACAATAGAATAGTATAGAACATGGGCGTATGAAACCTGCGCGATACTTACGACGCATTAATGTCTGCGAAACGTGAATGGAAATCATTTCTAATTGGATGTACCACCCTGCTCATTTTAAATTTCTAAAGCGACGCGAAGAATTCCCACGTGCTCAACGATCAAATATGCTTGTATTAACTGCCAGCGTTGGTACTGTCATACATTATGAAATCGCGTCAGAAACGAGGTGCATTTCTAAGCCGAAAGTAATTAGCCGAGGAGAAAATAAGTGTGTGTGCGTGCGCCTGCGTGCGTGAATGTGTGCGTGTGTGTGTGTGTCTGCGTGCTTTAGTGTGGCGTGAGTTTGCGTGCGTGCGTGTGTGCGGCTACGTGCGTGAATGTGTGCGTTCATGCGTAAGTGTCTGCGTGCGTGGGATTGAAAGCCGCATCTTTTACTTCGATCCACCATGAACGCAATGTTGTTGCGGACGTCACGCAGGGACGAACCCACGCTCTGCTAGCAGTGGTTTGAAAGTGCGCATTTTACATGCGTTTCTGATCAGTGCGAAATGACCATAGAAATAATACAGGTAGACTCTCTATAGGTGTCTCTAGGTGTCTCTATATATTTCTATGGAAGAGACATTTAGTGTAACAGGATTCGAATTTGGAACAACTCTTCGTTTTGTTTTTCGAACGTTAAATTTTATTGTCCGACGTTGAGAACTACCGCCGTGAGCATTGAATCATTGCCGTGTGGGAAATTATCATGTATTCGCTAGACTCACCTCGAAGTTACGAAGACGCCCCGGGGAGTAATTAGCTCTCATTACAATTGATTAATTTCTGTAAGCGGCTTATTAGGAATAAAGTCCCTTGTGCTCCCATCGTGTCCTCTAGGTGTCACTACCCGAGCGAGCGTTGCCATATTAAACATCTAGGTTGCATAATATAGGCGAAATCTGCGATTATAAATATACTTAACGAGATAACTATGTAATATAGATAAGGTAATAAGATAATAATATATGTAGAGAAAGGTTTGCTTCGAAAAATGCGGTCTGACAACAGTTACATACGTTATAGAGGGATTAGTAAAGTATACGCACTGTTGAGTCAGCTCCCCGGATTCACTCACAGGATTACGTCAATGCGAGGAATATTTAGTTGGAATTAAATATATAAGCGGGTTTCAGCTGCGACTGCGCCTTTCCTTGATATTAGCCTCAATCCTGCTGCTGCTTATGCCCCTGTAGCGTTTACTGCTTCCGCTTCTACCCCTGCTGCTGCTGCCCCTGCTGCTGCTGCTGCTACTGTTCTACTGTTGCTGTGATCCTCTGCTGCTGCTATGGTTGCTACTGTTGCTGCCAGCTGCTACTAGTTAGGGGCTCTGCCGCTGTTGATGCCCACTGCTGGCCTGCTTACTGTATGCTGCTGATGCCCTGCTGGCTGCTACTGTTGCTACTGGTTGCTGCTGATGCCCTCTGCTCGCTACTGTTGGCTGCTGATCCCCGCTCTGCTACTGTGCTAGCTGATTGCCGGCCTGCGCTGCTCCTGTTGCTGCGGCTAGCCCTGCTGCTGCTGATCCGCCTGCTGATGCCCCTGCCTGCTTGCTACTGTCTGCTGCCCGCTGCTCGCCGCCTCGCAGCTGCTGCGGCACTGCTAGCTAGCTGCTGCTGCTGCTGCTGCTGTGATGTGCTGCTACTGTTGCTGCTGCTGCCTGCTACTGTTGCTGCTGGCCTGCTACGCTCGCTACTTGTTGCTTGCTGATGCCCTGCTGCGCTGCTGCCCTGCTGCTGTTGGCTCTGCATGCTGGCTACTACTGCTGATGCGCGCTGCCCCCTGCGCGCTGCTGCCCCTGCTGCACCTGCCGCTGGCTGCTGCTGCTTACTACTGCTACTGGCTGCCCCCGCGCTACTGCTACTGCTGCTGGTGCCTGCCGCACACGCCTGGCCAGCTGAAGCCATGCCCGTCAAGTGCATCACCACAGAGCTGGATTCGCTGCGGAATTGGATCGGCTGGCACGCAACACCGCGTTCCGCCGTGCTAACATCGCAGCGCGCGTTCGTAGCTGCGGCCTCATCTCCCACCGACAACCTAGCCTTGCCACCCAAATGTACCGAAGATCCGTGCTCGGGGGCTCTCTATAGAGAATGACCTCGGACTGTTAGTAGCTGTCGATAGATGGGAGGCGACGTCAGGGCGCAGCGCAGAGGACGGTGTAGATGCCGCACTACGCTGTCTGCGCTGCTGCTCTACATCTCAAGCATCGCTGGAGACGAAACGACGACGCACCTGCTGTGTGTGTTGTGTGTGTGAGAGAGAGAAGAAGGGAAGGAAGAGCAGCGACAAAGCGCGCGCAAGAAGAGCAAACGAAAGAGAAGAAAGAACAATAGAAGAGAGGAACGAGAAAGACGTGCCGCTACACCGCAGACTACCCCTGGAGCACCTGCCGCGTAAGATTAGAGGAATCCGTGTCGCCGGTCTGACTATGCTGTCTGGCCGTCAGCCACCTCACGGCTAGCGCTGCTAGCCAGGCTTCAAAGGTACAAGCTTTACAGATCGGACACGTTTCTCGATGACGACAGCGCTCAGGGCTGGCCGGCGGAAAGCTAGCCTGCCCAGCCCGCCGTCATGCACTCAATGACGTCAACAACCGTCAGACATGCCTTCCCGAACACAGACCTGAACGCATGAGTGGCAACAACAGCATGGTAAAGATGATGTGCATGCCTGAGTAAGTGACCCAGTGTTGTCCTCCTCCTTTCTTAGCTAAGGCGGAATATATATAATATATATATATATAATAATGCCTTCACTGACGCCTTACGGGAGAGTCGGATGAATAAAGAAAAGATATGTATATACAAGTGTGGTGTGTGAGTGTGGTAGTGTGTGTGTGTGTGTGCGCGCGCCACGGCAGTGCGTGCGTGCAGTGCGTGGTGTTAATGATGTGCGTCAGCGTGCGTACGTGCAGTGCGTAGCGTGCCGTGCGTGCGTGCGTGCGTGGCATCGTAGTGTGTGTAAGACAGGAAGAAGGAAAGAAAATAATGGGACAGGGAAGGAGAAGAAAGGGATGTGGGGGAGTGACAGAGAGCTCAGTTTCAGAACGAGAGAGAGGGGGAGATAGATAGAGAGGGAGAGGGGGCAATCTAGAGACAGTGAAATAAGACAGAAGAGGATAGTAAGGGGTGAGAATGAAAACAGAATTATAAAGAAGGAGAGAGCAAAAAAGAATCCTCATTTCACAAAAATACACAAATACACAATTCATTAATCCAATGCGCTCACTTTAATCAGGTTAATTTCTTTCATGCCCATTCTTTCAATTAATTGTAATTATTTACTTTTTTATTAGTCGGATATCCATCCAGTGGCCTGTGCTTGCGCATGTTCATTCCAGCTTTGCGATACAGGAAACTAGCATAACATCAGAAGTAGATAAAAGTAGTTCCCTATTATCTACTTCTGATAACATGTCAGTCATCCGCATTTATGTGATAGCTCATTATATTTGGGCCATCCATCTTTTTCACGTGCCATCAAAATTCTATACTTTCGAATATAAACGCCGTATACTTCGGCGGCAGCATGCCTGAGTTCATCAGCGTGAATACGCGTGCAGATAGGGCACGAATGTTTTCCCCCTCTCTCTCTCTCTCTTCTCTCTCCTCTCTCTCTCTCTGCTCTCTCTCTCTCCTCTCTCTCATTCTCTCTCGCTTCTTTCTCTCTACTCTGCTCATCTCCTCTCTCTCTCTTTCTCTCCTCTTTCTCCCATCTCTCTCTCTCTCTTTTTCTTCTCTTTCTCATCATCTTCTCTCTCTGATCTCTCTCTCTACTCGTCCTTTTTCTCTCTTCTACTCTCTTCTTTCTCTCTTCTTCTCTCTCTTTTCCTCTCCTCTCTCTCTCTCTCTCTCTCTTCATGCTCCTCTCTCCTCCTCTTATCTTTCTCTCTCTCTCCTTCTCTCATCTCCCTTTTCTCTCTACTCTCCGTCTCTCCTGTCTCTCGATCTCATCCTCTCCTCTCTCTCTCTCTCGTCATCTCTCTCTTCTTTCTCTCTCTCTCTCCTTTCTTTCTCATCCTCTCTCCTCTCTCTCACTCTCCCTCCTTTCTCTCATCTCTTCTCTTTTTTCTCATCTCTCGTCCTCCCTCCTCTTCTATCCTCATCTCTTCTCTCTCTCTTTTTTTTTCGCTATCTCCTTTCTCTCTCTCTCTCTCCCTCTCCCCGTCATCTCCCTCTCTCTCTCTCCATTCATACATAGATAGAAATATGGGACGTTGATAAGCTATGCCTATTTTTTGCTGTAGTTCAAGAACCTGTAGCAGCTGTGAATCCACCATGTCGGATATATATATATGTGTGTGTGTGTGTGTGTGTGTGTGTGTGTGTGTGT